CCCAGGAAAAAATAATAGTAATATATTTTGTACATTTTCCCGTTTTTTAAGTTTTCAAATTTTATGAAAAACTCTTGAGAAAATCAAAAATTGACCTCTGTAAAGTACCTCCCCACACCGATTTCCTTTCAGAAAAAGTGCTACACTTAGAATTCCGAGAAGGTCTTCTGGTAGAAAAGTTGTTAACGGATAAAAAAAAAAATAACCATCTTTGTAAAATCATAAGCTTTTTTGCTCTACCCTGAATCTAAAATATGCTCAGAATCTAAAATTGAAGTTTTTCGGATAACTTTTCAAGCAATATCTATTTGCCAATGTATCCTACTAATGTTAAAAATGCGAAAAGCGTCTATTATTCGGTTAGTTTGGTTAATTAACTTTGTACTTTTATTTAGGGATAAAAACTCTGTCATTTGTTTTCACTTTTTAGATTCTGAGCAAATCGAGGAATGTATTGGTTGTATAGTGATGTTTATTCTTTTTTTTTATCTGTGAGCAACTCTTTTACCAGCAATTTTGTTCCGGTTTACGATATTAGTACTTTTTTTGAAAGGAAATCTGATTAGGGGGGTTCTTTAGGGAGGTCATTTTTCGATTTTTCTCAGGAGTTATCCCAATAAATGGAAAAACTGGGAAAACCACGTGAAAACCGGGAGAACGGAAAAATAAACAAAAAAGTTATTATTTTTAAATTTTATTTTATACATAGTTATATTAGTTTATTTTCTCCGTGATTTTTCGTTTAATTATTTTTCGTTGTAAGTCTGTCATCTGTTTAAAAGCAGATGCGATTTATGAATGCTGTTCTTTTATTCATAGGATATATTAATATTGTGTAGGTACTTACATGAAAATTATGTCGGATCAATAAAAAACAGAATTAATAAATAAAAAAAAAAAGTTGTCGTAAATAAAATCGCGGTACGGGGTATTATACGAATTGAATATTTAACGAACTACCGCGAGGAATTGATTATTATAAACGATAGAATAAATAAACGTTTAACAATAATTAACGTGTTTTAACGTCATAATAATATTCAACTAAATTTATTATATTACATTGGAAACGATCAATTTAAATATTTACTTGTATAAAATATTGTTTAGTTGTAGCGTATCGTTAATCGTTAAAATCGTTATTCAAATGGCTTTATCGCAATGTTATATTAATAATGAGAACGTATAACTATACCTGTATTTAAAATAGAAAAAAAAAATAAAAAAAAAAGTGCGTAGGTATCAAATACGAAAAATTAACGTTTTTTTTTTTTTCTCGTTTTCAGTTACAACGTGTATTGTCATTCAACCGAATAAATCGACGAGTAATCGCGAATCGTTGTTTGATAATAATTTAAAATATAATAAATTATTGATTTTTTCTTTCTCTGAACTCAAACGCTGTCGAAATATCCGTTACAGCTATCAAACTACGATCGATTAACATTCCACCTACGGCCGTTTACAAATGTATAATATCGATTATTATTGTTCGTTCGTTTACTTGTGTTTAATCATTTGAACGGTGATACCGATGTGCGTGAATTCGAAAGAAAAATATTATGACATTTCTCATTCGATATGCGTGGTAAATTACGATTTGTATTTGTACCCGCGGTAGACTACGTGCAAATGAAACCGATTAGTTCGTGTACGGTGTACGCGCATAAATTTTACGGTTTTTTTTAACGGGATCGGACAATATTGAAATCAATGGCGCTACAGTTTACGAACGGACTAGTGAATAAAACGAGAGAATTGAAAAAAAAAAACTCGAGACGCGGAAGAAGGCATTGATAAGGATCTAAACACATTACGTTGTAGAACTACTAAAATTGACGAAAATATTGTTGAAGAAAAAACAACGATTAAACGACGGCGTAGCAAAATTTTGCCGGTCCAGAACCAATACATTGTGCTGTTGGTTTTATTAGTTATTTACGTTTTTAAGCGGGAAAACGAGCGTGCGAAATATCACGGTTTAAAATTGCCTATATTTCTCTTGAAAATCGCGCGCGCACAGATAAAGCGCTTGCCTTCTAGGTTTTGATTTTCGTGTGTATTTGTTCTAATATTACAAATAAATGCACATCATTTGTTGAACGATAATGACAGAGACGACAAATGTGTATGTCGCGTCACTTTAAATTGCACGTATAAAAACACCACGGTACTCGGATAATAATAATAAAATTGCATAATGTTTTTTTTTTTTTTTTAATTTTTTTTAATTCTTAGCGCGGCGTCACTGAAATCGTCAAAATAATTTCTATTGGAAACCGTGCCTACACAAATAACCGTGTGTTATAAGAACGAAATGTTGTTTTTATCCCGTAACACAGTATCGTTATAAAATAAATCTATAACTAGAACTACGTACTTTATTTATACTTTTTATTTTTTATTTTTTTTTTTTTTTTTTGTAAAAATCTTTAATATGTTCTTTTCGGTAATATCGTGTAGGTACAATAATATATACTTCCGACGACGTTGCCCTTCAAGAATTTCGTGTAGTGTATAATAAACGACTTTCTTTGTTACTGAATCCGTTTCGGCGGTGTAAAAATGTTCCATCATAACTCATGACTAAACTTTATTATATCGAGGGATATAGATCTTTTTTTTAAAAAAAAAAAATATAAATATATATTTTTTTTTCCAATGAGTGCTTAAACTCTGTGACATAAATCTATATACGTGTCCATGGCGTATATCTTTCTGGTGTATTTTTTAGAAATATATTTCGAAAATTAAACGCACGGTGTTCATTTGAATTCGAAATGATAAAATTGTTTTCGTATTGATTTCGTGTCGAAACATTTGACAATAAAATTCGAATATTCTGAAGGTTGTTGACATAGTCGATTTAACAACCTATACCTAAGTTATACCTATACTAAGTGGATACGATGTGCACAATTCGGAGTATTTATGTTGTATAACTAATTGCAAAAGAGTTTTTTTTTTAAAGAAAAAAAAAATACACATAGGTATAATCGTGGTAAAACTGTATAAAAGCTTCATCGATCCATATAAAATGTAAAATGTACCGTGCGAGGTACAATTTATTTGTTCTTGTTTCGATAGAAAATCGTTTAAATTGAATAAACTGTCATATGGTATATAGGTAAATAACGGAAAAAATGCAGACACATTTCTTGTATTGTGTGGTGAGCGTCGATATTCATTCGTTTCCATCTCGTCTCTCCCGACTAAAGACAGACGTCGATAATCTATTCACCTCCACCTATAGAAATGGAAAAAAAAAACAAGTTTCCAGAGGAACGGATTTCTAGAACAACTTCCTTATTTAGGAGCGAAACGCGGAATCGTTTTTTATTTTTAAGTTGTATAAAGAACAGAGGATCGGAAATTACACAATGACATATATATATATGTGTGTGTGTGTGTGTACAAAAATTAAATAAATTTCAAATTCCATTGTTTTTATATTATGTAATTCGTGTATGAAATATTTTATCAAATTTCAATTGATAACATAAATATATTTTCTATTATAAAGTATACAACTATGTAATACAATTGACAACGACAACGAAACTTTTTGAGTACAGAGCCAAAAAAAAATACGAAAGCTAAAATACACAATTCATATCACACAACATTTACGCACAGCTATACGATGTATTTTTTAGGGCATTAAATTTAATTAAAAGCGTGTTTTTTTAACGTATTTTTTAAAATAATTTATAGAAATGTTTAATATATATTTATATATAAAAAAGACTGTCCTGTTTGTCACAATTGTTCGGGGAAAAGAAACGAGCAGAATTTTACAAACCTTTGTAAAGTGATCCTCGCAAATAATAAAATGAATACGCGTTACAGATTAACTGGGTTTTTGGGTTTGACTTAAAAATATTATTTCGTTTGTACGCGAGTGAATGTGTGATTGAGATTTTTTTAATCAAATTTGAAAAACCAAAAACCAAAAAAAAACGGGAAAATGTACGAAATATATTTATTTTTTTTCCGGTGCACAATATTTTAACCAGCAATTTCGTTCTAACTTTTTACGATAGCAACGTTTCTAAAAGGAAATTTCACTAAGGAGGTATTTAAAAGAGGTGACTTTTTGATTTCCCCAAGAGTTTTCTCTGCAAATGTGAAAAACCGGGATAAAACATGGGAAAACCGGGAAAAACGTAAGAAAACTAAAAAAATATATTTAATTTTAATTAAATTTTTATTAATTACATATTTATTATAGAAAATATACAATGCCTATTTAATTATTTTACCATAATAAGACATACTACATATTGTTGACAATGAATCACTATCAACTTAACTCCGCTCAGAATCGTTTTTTCGTTAGAAATTGTTTATTGTTGCTTACAAGTATACATTAAATTACTTATAACAGTGGCTGCACCCGTCCCTATTTCCCTGTGACGTATTTTTCTGTCTGTTGTCCATCGGCAATACTCGCTCCAACCATTAATAAGTCTTTTCTATAAAAACAAATTTTTCAGGTGAACGATGATTTGTATCTTTAGGTGGATCATGTAACATAATTTAATATTTAACTTCTTATTTATTAGGCCGAAGTGATTCGGTGTACATATCGTTCGATAGATAGGCTAGATACTATTTTAAATTTAATTTTAGTTTTTTTTTTTTTTTACAAACATTTTCATATGTTTCTACATTTTCGAATTAAATTTCTGAAAATCAAGGTCTGAATTTCTAAAAAGTGACATCGCTTATCTCACGAACGCTTCACGCTAAAGACACATATGTGTTCAGAATTCGTGTCGCTTTCAAACGTTGACCGGTGGACAGAATAACGATCTGAATTGCTCAGAAAATGTCATAGAAAAAAATTATCTATTTCGGAATTCTTTATAAAAATATAACAAAATATTTTAAACTAAAAAATAATCGATGATTAAATTAAACTAACTGTTAAAGTTTTGATGCCTGTCCTTGATTTTTAAATTTCAATGCGTTTTATATTCCGTTATTGATGAGGGTTTTTTTTTTTTATCTTTTCAATATCCGATTTGACTTTAAGATAACGTCAAAAATCCATCGATTATATTATGGAAGTTATCGTGCTTACGGTACGATTGACACACTGCGCGTGAGAACAATTATAATAGTTATCGGACGCGTATTCGTTATTATATTGTTAACCGTTGAACGTTTTACACATCATCATATTATTTGATTAAGCGATTCAGCTTATTTTCGCTAGGCGGTACAGCCTAGTAAAATAACGTGACCGCAGTATATAATTATACGTACGTATTGTCAAGGGTTTCAAAAAATCTCGGTCAGGTATATATAGGTAGGTTGGTACCGAAGGTTTAATTTACGGGACGGACACGACCTTCTATGGAATGAAACAAAAAAAAATAAAAAAAACACCCACTGCTCGCTGTAATGCACGAGCAGCTACATCAAATCTGTCTATAAAGACATACTAGTCGTAATGAAAAAAAAAAAAAAAAACAACCCAAATACGTTACTAATAATAATAAAGAAAGAAAAAACAAATACCTAATCTTTGTAAATTCAATTTATACCTCATTTATTTATCTTAAAAAAACTTGAGTACAGAAAAAATGATTAATTTATCCAAATTATACTAATAAATATAAACTAAATGTTTATTTTACATAAATACTTTATATTTAATTCAAGTACGTAATATATTGAATATGGTAGTGCAGTAGTGTAACGTAGGAATAAATTTACAACCGGTGGGGAGTGTAGTATAGTAGAAGATATTACGAAATTTAGCTGATTTGTTTTAATTTGTTAAAAGAAAATAAAAAACCGTAAATTTACCTAGTTAAACGCCGATACCTTAACATCTTAATACAGCGGTACAGAGGTTCGCCAAAACTTGTTCGATATCTATTCGAATATCGCATTAAATAACTTTTAATACCCGTGTATACGAACTTGAATTCTTCAGAAAATAAATAATTTCTCGTTCTCTATTATTATTATTATTTTTTTTTTTAAAACTAGCGTTATTTGTTTACTTTGGTTATTCGTTTAGTTTTTGGTAATATTGTGTAGTGGCATTATGTTCACTAGTTTCCGAACCTAATGGAAATGTGTTTGTTGATTTGTACTTATTTTGGTTAATTTAATAAAAGGATTTATAATTTTGTGTTTTGTACCTGCTACCTGGTATGTCTGTCTTTTGACGCCATCGAAATTATGTTTTAAAAGTAGATTGTTATCATATTCATATAGTGGAGTGATCGGGTTTTATTTTTCACTCATCTCTAGTCTGACGACGACGGTTATTCGATCGCGCAATCGTATAGAATACTCGTACCTATTAGTCCACGTATCAAATGTATCAATGACGATAACTATAAGGTATAATTATAATCGTATTTCTAATGAAAACTTGGTATCGTATTCCTGTAATGATTTTTCAATTTGATAAAAAAAAAACCAGAATTCTATATTGATAATGCCGGGACACGCTCACTTTTTCCCGGACGATGAGAAAAAAAACGACCCAGAAATCGAGGTCCGCGTACACCGAATTAGGAACACATAAAAAGCTCGTACCGACTCGAAATCCGATATCAAGGAAGTTAATGTCCTAAGTACACACCTTAAACCTAAAACTTTTTGCGGTGAAAAGACCACGCCGGGTGCAAATAAAGGTAAGGGCGGAAAGCAAAAACCACGTCGGGCAGACCTGCACAGAGGAGTGTAGAGAGAACGTTTCACTAAATGTATTCGCCAATGAGTGAACCAAAATTTAACATTGTGAACATTTAGACAAATCTTATTACCGTAAATTTAATTTACGGTAATTTCTTAAACTACATAGCACGACAATTAACCGATAAACGAATATTTAGAACCGAAAATGTATTTGTTAAAATATCTCAAACAGTGTGAGTATGCGTCAGTACTCATAACTCTAGTAACAATGCATTCCCCAGGCAATTGCCGACTCGTTTTGATGGCGAGCGACATGCGCGACCGATGGGACACGAAATGTCCTCTCGATATATTGCTACACGGTTAGGTCATATTTTGAAGTGGTAAAACAGATGATAAGTAGATAGTCTTGTCTATCGCGACCAAGGATACTTGCTTCGAGATTATACGTATATTTTTATTTTATTTTATTTTTTTTCCCCCCGTCTAATCCGGGAAACCGTTCTTTATCTTTGTCCTACCCGGTAAAACGCGATATTCATTGCTAATATCGCGCGAGTCGACAATTGATATTATTAGTGTCAACTGGTGTTAATTGCACCGAACTTGACGATAGAATTACAGCCGGTGTTTCGCAAGTTGTAAATATCTATCGGTTTAATTAATTACTATTGTAATTTGTAGAGCTCGTTCGGATTTTAATAAAACAATCATATTCACCACGTCGCGTTGCCGTAATCGCTGTATTGCCTTCGAGAGTATTTATTTTGCATTTTCCGAATTTAATACGATCCGCGCACCTACCTGAACAACATATGTAAATATATATATACGCGCGCGTAGTTTCAGTTAATTATAATATTTTCGAGTAGGTTGTTCGAAATTAAAATAATTACTCGCAGCGTGGCAGCGCTAAACGAATAATGTGTACGATACGTATTCGTTCTAAAAAACAAAAAAAAAAAATAAATAAATTAATAGTCCACGGGATTCGCTGTACCGTTTGCTCGGGAGTGGAATTTTTCGTCAACGATAAATTCCAAATCCGCAATCACAAATAACGCGGTAGAATATGATCAGCGAAATGCATATATTATTTCGGTAATGTTTTTCATTTAAATATAAATTAGGTGGGTGTGTGTATGATATTTATGTTGTCCGTCAAATTATACTTTTAAAAACGTCAATGCGTATTTAAGTGGGTATGCCTATATACAATATTACCATACAATTTCAAATTCTAACCAAAGTGTAGGTAAGCTAATATACATATTTATTGTTATAAGTTCTTTTTCTGCCGTAGTTTGATTTTCCCGATAAGATTTTTAGCTTTTTGGAGCGCTACAAATGCATCGCATTGTTGGAATATAGTTGGAAAGGAATGAAAATAAATTATAGTAATTTATCGGGGTAGTAATTTTCTGAATTTTCCAGTAGAAAGATTTTAATAAATTATCGCGATAAGTCTTGATGCTGCAAGAGACACGCGAACAAGACAAAGGGAGATAGAAAGAGAGAGAGAGAGAGATAGTTAAAACGAGTTTAAAAAGAGTTAAGTTAGTTTAAATTGAAATTCTGAGATCTTCTTAAAAAATCTATTTTCAAATATACCACGTATAATGTCCAAGTAAAAAAATAACAATAAATTACTAAACCGTGGTTTGGGGGAGCGAAGCGAGACGATTGTCATCCAACGACACTCGTTCGATGTACATTATAATATTGTTTTGGAGAAAGATTTAAGAAAATTGGTAAAGTATATGTAATAATTATTTATGTTTTTTTTTTTTTTTTTCATGTTATCTTGGCTATACGGGAGAAAAACACGGTTTATACTGCTCTGTTCAGAATCGTTTTTCGTTAAAGTGCACAGTACATAACCTAACCTCCAACTACAATAGTGGTCAAACTCATTATACGAAGTTTATGTATGCCTTTCTGTAATATATATTTATTATTTTAAATCGACGTTCTAGTGACTAGTTTTTAAACATTTGATTTCCTAATTTTGGTGGTGAGTTGAAGTACAGAAACATACTAGGCAAACTACGTGCCTAGGTGGCTAGGTAGTCAATATAATCAGTCAGGAACTCGTGACAGAAATTCAAAACTGTTGGCTATACCTAAGTTTAATACATACAGTCTCACACATTTTGATTTATTTTTATTTGAATTTTTCGATAAAAATGTAAATAGCCAATATTTAAATACTGAAAAACAGATCGCCTATATCCATAGTAGGTAATTATATGTATTATATGTCAATGACTTTTAACGATAAATTACTATGTATTTCTTAATCATTACTCGCTTTGTTAGTAATTTTTTTTTTTTTAATACCAACAGTATGAAAATCGTTAGGTTGTACGTTAGTTTTTACTCGAATAGTGTGAAGTTTTAATCGGTTACCTAACAAGGTATCATATTATATTATATTATTATATTTTATTATCAAACAATATTATTCACTGTTAAAGTCCAATGATGTCGGATAAGTACATTGAAAAGTTAAGCCATTTAATTTGAAAAGCTAGGAAAATAAGACTTTTATCGGGTTAAAAGTACAATATTATGTTTGAAAAACGTGTCTAAGGATAATGAGGACAGTTGTAGCCACTGTAGCCACTGTTATAAGTAATTTATATATAACTACAAGCAGCAATTAACCATCGATACGAAAAAACGATTCTGAGCGTGATATATTTTAACTAGAACGTAAAGTTCATATATTTTCCCATTTTTCCTCGGTTTTTTTTCGGTTTTTTTAAAATTTGATAAAAAAACTGAGAAAATCGAAAAATAACTTCTTCAAAGTACTTCCCTAGAAAAAGTGCTATCGGAACAAAATCGCTAATAGAAAAGTTGTTCACGGGAAAAAAAAAGGCCGTAGTATTTGTTTACTATAATACCTACATTTCGTACAGTTTTCCGTTTTTTCCGGTTTTTCAAATTTATTGAGAAAACTTCTGGGAATTATAAAAATGATCTCCTCAAAGTAAATCCCCAGTCAGATTTTCTTTTAGAAAAAGTGATACATTTGTAAATCGGAGCAAGGTTTTTGGTAGAAATATTCCCAGAAAAAAAAATAAACATCATTGTAAAACCAATAAATTCCTCGCTCCGGCCCCGAATCTAAAATATGTATGCTACAAAACTACTATTCATACTATTAAATTAAGTTTAATTAAAACTAGGAAGACTTGCATCTCGTCTCGTATTTTTACAAGTAGCAATTCGCAATGTTGACACGCAATTACTGTATTTACAATATTATAATCTACGCACAAGTACAGCGTGAATTATAAACTATTTAGTGTGTCACGATACTTTTTATCAATACATTTTAAGGATTTTGCATTCGAGTTTCAAAACTTACCATAGGTAATTTCACATAAAAATATTGGTAAATAAATTATTAACAGTATACACAAGTATTTTCGGTAATCCAGAATTTGTAAACAACGTGTAGTTAACTTCAGTCTTTGACAGTGAAGTAATGTTAGTCACGTATTAACGTTTTAGTATTATTATTTTTTTTTAATGAAGGTAACAATAAGTCAATTTCGTTACATGTTACCGTTAATGTTAATAATAGCAATGCGTTTTCTTATCTTTAACATTTAAAGACAATTAGTTTAAGATGATTTCAATAATACTACGCAAATATATTACCTATTGAGTGAACTGCTGAAAAGTCACTTGGAGGTTACCATTGTATTTTGTTATTTCAATTCTTTATCGACTACACTACAAATCAATTTTTTTTTTTTTTTTTTTAATTTCCCGGCTGGAAAAGTAAATTACAAAAAAAATTTGAATTCAAATATAAAAAAAAATTGCTAGATTTGTTGTGATGTAAAATTTGAATTTAAGTGATACTATAATATAATGTAATTTCGTTTTAGAAATGTAACGAGTAATTGCAATTTTATTGGTTTTGATGAAAAGTAACTTTCTCGAGATTGTAGATAATCTATATATATTATATATATACATATATACTTTTTTTTTTTTTTTTATCTAGGATTCAGAAAGCGAGAGAAGCGTATTATAGGATAGGATGGACAATGGTAATTACATCCCGCGCCTGTAAACTGTTCGATTAAACGTTCTAATCAATCATGTCGAATAAATGGTACCAATTCCACAACGTTG